CCATTCTTACTATCCAAAGATCATAATTTTCTCCATCAAAGATAAAAAAAAAAAAGAGAAATTTGTGAAAAATTTGTTTCGATTTTAATCTCTATAGATCGTAAGAACCTTAACTTTAGATACCAATAATAGATTATTTTATATTTATATTTTGTAAAGATACATTTTTATCAGCTGAGCATAATCTAATTTTATTCACGAGTTATTTATATATAAAAAAAAATTGTAATGCAAGAATTAAATATTAATATTTACCTTATTTTAAAAATAAGGAAACAAACACTAAAATAATTAAAATAAATTAAATATTAATATTTAAAACAAATAAAAAATTTATATAAAAATTAATTTATTTTCTTAAAGATATTTAAGTATATTCTTATCAAAGATCTAAGTTCAATTCTGACTACATATATATAAAGGTCTTTTTGGTAGATAATCCGATAATATGTAACCTCTGTAAGTATTTATAGTCTTAAGGCTTGCTTTTCACGGTGAATCCTCGTAACCCAACTTTAAAAAAATTAAATTTATGCCTAAAAACTAATTTTCAATATTCTTAGTCTTTAAAAAAAATGCAGTTACATACAATATTGACCTTGATCTTGGACTGATAAATAATGAAAATTAGGGCCCATTGGTTTTGATTACAAATTGAAACCTATCATCGAAAAATCAGTTATACTAAGCCTTTCCTATGACGTCTGGAAAGTGGATGGAAACATTTATAATTACTAAGATGATGACTTTCCAAGCAATCGTCCAAATTTGAACGTAAATTAAACTAAATTCACAGTAAAACATGAAAATTTCAGATTATAAAGGGGACCCAAAACTTGATTGCAAATCGGAACCGACTCAGATTTTCCATTAAGTGTCGTGTGCCCATTTGTAATGTGGTGGACCATTATGCTTTCCATTATTAAAAAGGCAACAACGAGGTTAATATAAATAATTAACTCAAGACAAATCAATCTTACTGTTCTGACCAAGTTAATTAAATGGCATTTCTGTTTTTGCAATAAATGCCATAGAGAAAAGTTGAGATAACAAGCTGTGATCTCCTTCATTCTAATAGGCTTAGCTGTTGCCATCTTCACATTATGAGTGATTACAAGAGTAATAAATAAATAGCAAGTGAGATTCTAAAAGGATCAGGAAAAAAAAAAAAGTGATATCTATTTTGTTTGTTTGCTTAAAGATGAAAAAAAAAAAAAAAAAAAGCTTGAGTGGATAGTCTAGTTGCTATTATTTTGTGTGCATATCTGAGAAGGAGATCACTTGTCATTTTAGTAAAATGCCTCTTTTACTTGATAAAACTATTTTCTATTTTTAGTCATTTATTTATAAAAATGTCTCTCTTATGTATACTTTAATTTAAAAAATTTACATAAATTTCTCTTTATAAATTAAAAATTAATGTGAAAATGAGATAAAATTTTGGTAATGAAAATTGTAAAAAAAAATAGAAAAATAAAAATATTTTTTCTTGAATCAATCAAATTCTTTGCACCAAATGGGTGAATCAATTAGTACGACAATTATTTCAACTTAACCTAAAGAGAGATTGAATACTAAATATGCAATTGCATTAAATATTTGAAAGAAGAATTTTGCGATGAGGACTCATCCAAACATAAAATTAGGCAAATTCATACTTTAGGCTCTCAATTTTTTATATATAGTATTGATATTTATATTACTTTTACTATTAATTGATTTAGTATAATGATAATTAAGGTGTGTCTTTTTTGTAACAAATAGAGTTAATAATAATATTGTTTGAATATTTTTTTATAAAGACTCAATTTTTTTTATTACTTCAATTAATTTTATAAAAATCTCATATAAAAGTTTGTTTTAGCTCCAATAATACGATAAATTACTCCTATTTACAACATATATCAAAGTTTGTTTTAGGTCCAATAATACGTTAGATTACTCCTATTTACAACATATAGTGTCTTACTTGACTTGAACAAATTACTCTTGGTGGAAGAAATATGTGGTATAAAAAAAATCAAATTCTTTATCATTTAAGTGTTTAGAATTTAGAGGCCTCACATATTGTTTTAATTAAATTAACACTAGTTCAAATCAGTTGCATTAAAACTTGTAACCCACAACGATCTAACTCAATCTAGTAGATAAGTGAGTCAAACCAAGTTCAAAAGGGCCCTTCTATTATCCGTTAAGCCAAGGGAGAGAGTGAGAGAGAGAGGACTCTTCAACATTAGTTGAAGCTATTGACTAGAACTTTTATTGACTAAATATATATGAAAACAGATGGCTTAGGTGTTTGGTGATAATGGAATCATTCTTTTCAAAAAGAGAGTTGAAAAAGGTCCCAGAAAATACAAAAGGAGAGCGTATGATACTGATAGGGATCAACATAACCAAGTTAGATCAATTCATGGCTAAGGATTCAAGATTTTGAGATCTCAAATTAGAAGCAAGGTAGTTTTGACACGTTGCAAAGTACAAAAGACAAGAAAACAAAAATGGCTGTTGTAGCACAGCTTTGCTGGCATGGCTGGTGAGAAAGAGTGAAATTAGTGGATGATTAAGGAGATATGTATCATTGAAAGCAAAGTGGGGATACAGAATCAGCTAGTGGATTCACTGATGCAATAACGTCCAATAATCAAAAGTCAAGCACCAATCAAAAAGTAGAGGGTCGGTACCCATGTTTTTAAGTTATTAATTATATTAACTCAGATCCTTTAACCACAAACTAATTTCAACTTGGTACCATTCACTAGTTTATCTTAAATTTCCAAAAAAATGCCTCACAGTACTCATAGCAAGATGCAAGATGAAGAAGAATTGAAAGTTAAGGATAAGGTGAAAGGCTATATAGTTCGATGTTATTCATTTACATCGTTAGGTATAAGGTGTGTGAATATCACATTACAGTAGGGTCAAAAAATATCTCTCTTTTTTTCATTTAAACCAGTAGGTTAGAGTAGGTTAAACCTGGATTAGGGTATAATGAGACTCAAAAAGAGGTTAGGTAATTAATTAGGTTAAGGTTAAAATTGTCCTATTATGAAATAAATGCTTTTACCTATTTATTTATTTATTCTTAATGGACACTCTACTGTATGCTATCTCTCATCACTTTCTACAATAGCAACTTTTGATGGGTTTGAAAGCTAAAGTAAGAATGTATTTTGGATAATGAATAGATGATACCACTTCTGAGTTTTCTCAATCATCAGCTATTTAAAGCAATGGTCAGAAACTAACTTCCCCACTAGCCTTCTATAGAGCCCTTTGGAAAAACCATTCAAACCAATCTATTTGGTATAGGCATGGAGCTTTGTTGGCAAAAATCCATCCATGGCTCTTAAAGAAGCATGGAGGATTGTGTGAGAGGGTCTCCTCACCCCTCACACTCCTCCACCTCCTACAGTTTGCTTGTGCTTGGCCATTGGCTTCTCTGATCAATAATCACAAAGGGTGTATATGGAGAAACATATATAATTCTCTATGAAGTGGCATGAAGCAGAGAAGCATTCTCCATAGGAGCAGAGAGGCTTTGGCTATAGCCAGGCAAACCGGCAAGTCACAAAAAGGCAATGGACTCTTCTCATTAAGGGGTTCTTATGGCTATGTATGTATGTATGGCTCTATTGTAGTTTTTGCTTCAAGTAGAGAATGTAATAATAAACAAAGATGTTCTTTCTTTGAGAAGCTAAGCTAGCACCAACTTGTGTTGTCCATAACACTCAATTTGCAGATGACTAGAATCCGGCTTGCTCTTCAGTTTCTGCAGATGAGTAGGTAGGTAGTTACGATCATATATCCCTCTCCCTTACCTTTCAATGTCTTTGCTTTTGCTCATGTGTGTATGCTTGTTGTGTTGTGCTATGCAATAAAAGAATTGTAGTACTAGTAATGTTTTTAGTTCCTTAAAGTGTAGGATTATGTTTTGTAGAAGTTGATTTTTATAAGAAAAGCTGCAAAGCCCTCCTGAAAAAGTTGTTAAAACTCAACAATGACCATGTCCCTTTTTCACTTGAAAGTATTCCGGAATCTAAAGGGATAAATAGTTGATCCTCTCCATTTAAAAAATAACATTCTGGATTAGATTTCAGGTTATATGGATGGAAAAATATAGAGAGAGAAATCAAACCTTTTAAATGAGAGTAGTAGCTTCTAGCTATGTACAAAGAATATCATGAATAACCCAACAAAGGACATTCACATAAATGAATATTTTATTTGCTAAAATTTATACGAATATTTGTTAGTCTTGAAGTCTTTCAACATCCATATGTTGGTTTTAAAGTTTAGTAGACTTGATTTTAAATTATTAAATGTAATTGAGATTTGTCCAAATTCAGATTAATCACAAATTTTATACTAAAATGTATATCAAAATATGGGAAATTGATTATGTGTGCTAAGTAGCTAACAAGACAAGTTGAGCAAAAAAACAATGGAAAACATATCACAATACACAAATAATTATTTTCTTCCATTAAAAAACATTATCTAAACAAACTCCACTCAAGGTTGAGAAAAGTCTCGCTGTTAAGTTAGATGATTTGTCTAATAGCAGGTGTATGTACTCGACTAAGGGTTCTTGAATTATATTCAAAAGTTTGAAAAATTCTTTTACCAAGTTTGAAAGATTCTTTAACCCAATCTTTATTATAAATGTTAAAAGGAATGTGTTTCAGAGTTGCTACCATTTCTTTAAAAAGTTTTAGTGACGACCAAGTAAATTAAAAAGTTCCCAACTACTCTATCTCGTGAGTGGAAACACCTGAATGGAAGCTCAAAATGTTCTAAACACAGTTTTGGAACTTGGAACCGAATTTTATTTCAATCGGAGAGCCTTTTTGTTTTAAATAAATTGCTATTGTGTCTAGTAATTTTCCTAGTCACGAGCATCATAACAAACCCTTTTACACAAAATTGATCCTACATGTTTTTCTTGATCCTACATGTTTTTCTGAAACTGATGCATGAGAGACATCCACGTCAAAAACATAAACTTTTAGTATCATTCAAAGCATTATGACACGTGCGTGTAAATACTAAATACATAATGCAGAATCTAGTTACAATCTTGAAACCTGATTTTTTGGGGGTTGTTAAAATGTTGGGACTCCAACCCCTAATTCCGGATACCAAACAAACACCTTAAGAAAGTGACTACAAGCTCAAACCAATGGGAAGAATTGGTAAGCCAATCCACTACTCTATTCCTTCCCTCGTTATCTTGTCATTCTAATCAAACTCTGACTAAAGACATGCAGCAAAATCTTATAATATAAGGATGTTGTACAAAAATATGCAAAAAGAATAAGAAACGGGTTGTGGAATGATTAGGAGGAATTTTCTCAGCTTCTCCAAGTTCCCTTACCATATTTTAAGAGAGAAACATATAGTAATTCATTCCAAGTATCTGGTACCCCAGGCAAGCACCAATGACTGCAATCTTCAAACAGCGCGGTAGAGTTTTGATCCATTGATGTCTTGTACTCCTTTCTGTATACTGAAGGATGGCCATCTTTTCTGTAATCTGTAAGCCTACTTATGTTCATGTAAACTATTGGAGTTTTCATTTGTTGGATGACATGTTCTAGAGCCCACATTTTTGAAGGATGCTTTTGTAAGTAAGTTTCATTAAGTATTGGCTCAGTTTCTTTGTGGCACTGTCCTCCTGAATTCCATTGTCCACCCCTGCAGAGTATTAGAATTTATTCATCAATACAAGATGGATATCAATCTCAAAATTGCTAAAATATACAATTGAAGTCCCCACCATCTTTGGCAAGTTTAAGAAGCAAGGAGAAGATGGTTAACTAATTAAGAGGGTGTTTAAGTCAAATGATAAAATGCTAATTTTATTGCCATGATAAGGGTCAATGGCTAGTTTGAAAGGTAACTAGTTTCCTTTTTATGCCATCAAGGTAACAAGGTGAAAATGTTGAGTTCATTCAATTTTCAACTACCAACAACTTTCTTTTTGCTGATGAAACAGATGTGGGGTAACATTGCTAAGGGTATAACCACCTTTTTCCGACAATGAACTATTGCATGCTCATTATTATGGATATCATATAATTTTAGATGGGCAAGTGAAAAATGTGATAACCAACATGGATGAGGCAGGACGTTGGCATGTTAGCATGTCTCAATTAATACATATTGCCAGTTAGAAAGTCTTAATAGTCCAAGTAAAAATAAGGAAACAGAAGCAAGTGCTGATGCAATTGAATTGTGGTAGGTGTGAAAAAGAGAACAATACCAGAAATGGGTGACTGAGTATCCTCTGAAGAAAACCTGAGTTTGATTGGCATTAATTTTTCGGTCAACCCATTTAGCCCAAGTGGTCAAGGCCCTTGTATATGCATCTAGAACCTTGAGTCTTGGGTATACATGGTTTCCTTCTTGGTAATAATCTTCTCTATAGCAGTATCAGATGACAGCAAAGTGAGAAAATGCTCATTTAGGAGCACATGCAGCAAGTAATATATGACAATATAAATAGAGGGGTGAAACAGTAGAATTAACTATTTTGATAGATAAAGCAATCTCACATTACATTATTACAAACATGAGATAATTGGTGCATAGGAAATTAAAATTAATATGCTAAATTTTTATTGTCAATCCATTTTAAGCAGCAGCATGGTTGTAATTAATATATGTAGATGTAGATTCCAGAAAAACTATGTAGCATAGATAGTGATTTTAAGGTAATGTTCAATCCAAAAATAAATTTAAAAAAATGGAACTGAACTCACCCTTTTGATGTTTTATCATGGGTCCACCAATGACCTGTGTTGAAGACTATGATATTAGCATCCCGATACCTGGTCGTAGTTCGGTCCATCAAATCCAATCTTAATGTCTCAAACGACCCATTTTTGCCCTTGAAAGTTGACTCTTGAACAATGAATGGTGAAACAACAAAATCCACCGAACAATTATAGTCCTAAAAATACAACAAAGATTATAGTAAGCATCGTACTCATAAGATCCATTCACACTGCACAAATACCATAGAAGTATAGGAATCTCACCTCAAATCTAAAAGAATAGACACCTTTCTTCTTAAACTCCCTTTTTCCTGAAATTTCAAAAACCCGTTTCTTGTTCCTTATGCTTTGACGGAGAATGCACACGAGTGACTCCCACATGTTCCTGTTCAGTGAATCCCCCACGAAAACTAGCCTCTGTCCCCGCAACCTCTCCAGAAAATCAGTTGCATTCAAACTAAAAGGTAACACAACATCATTATTTGATAAAATACAAGAACACTTGTACATTTTATAGCTGAAATTAAATGCATAGTTTTGCTTATGATTAAAGAGATTCCAACCCAAATTTGATTCCAAAACACTAAACTCACAAGAATTCCCAACCCTCTTGCACATACTTAATACTGCAAAAGTCTTGTTGCAATAATTGTTGCAATAAATATTGAATATTAATTTCTTATTCCTCGTTCCAACACACAATCAGCCTATTCTAAAGAACAATAAATAACACTTCATATCACATAGTCGTTACTGAAAAATAGATACCATATAATATATACCTTGGAATTTTGCACCCTTTTGGCTGCCACCTCCATTTAACATATTCAACATCAGGCCTCCCATTACTGTGACAATCAAAATCTCTATCAATGAGGGGACAAGACCCTAAAGGATAATATGGCTTTGAATCATCCCTTACCCACTTTCCATCAAAAATGTCACAGTTCTCATATAAACCAACATGCATCTTCTCATCATGAGTGACAGTTACATTCTTCAAGTTCCTTTCCCCGTTCTTACTCTCTGACCACAAAATAGAAGCAAAACTAGAATTCTCCAAACCCCTCCCACTTCCACTCTTCATGCTTTCATCTGACACATTATTCACAACACTTCCTACTTCAATTCTCTTCACAGAACTCTCATACCCGCGAGACTTCGAAGTGTTGGAAGTGCTGTCAGTGTCGAAGGAAGACAAGGGGCATGGACCAAACGAAGAGTTTGCACCAAAAGTGTGAAGTTGTGGAACAAAGACTGCAACTTTGGGAACCCTGAGGGAGATACTAAGAAGGAAGAGTGACAACAAAACAAGAGAAGCTGCTACGCCTAAACTGAACCCAGAAAAGAGTCTTCTTCTATGTGACAGAAACGGGTCAGAGAAGGCGAGTCTCTTCACAGAAAAAAGAACATGCATGCTGGTGTTGCGAAACGAAAACCGAACCTTGAGTATATAAAAGCGGTTTGAAGGTGTGAAGAAAACAATGTGCGTGGAGGTTCAGAACTGAGTTGATGCTGCAGAAATAGGATGGTGTGTCTCCTTTTGAAGGAAAGTAGTGGAGCAACACAGACAACAACAGATTCAACCGCTGTTGAAATAGTTCTAAATAATACAATCGATGTTCCAAAAAATAACCTCTTAAATGTATTGAGGAATTTAAATGATAAAATTCTCAATTTATTTTTCCTTTTTCAAATACCAAACTATATATCTGGTACTCGTGCCATTTGAAAGTTAGAAATTTTGAGTACAATAATAAAAATAGAAAAGATAGATATATCTTTAGGATATCAAAATTAACATATATTCTGCTAGTTATAAGTCTATTTTAATCTTTTATATTATAAAAAGTTAAAAAAAAATTGAGTTAACTATATATACTATTTGTTCTAATTTGTATATTTTAAATTTTATTATAACTAGTCATATATATCGCATTTTTATGAATTTAATTTTCTTTTATGAAAGATAATTTTTTAGATTTATACAAATCATATTTTATTTAAATTTTGAAAGTGCCGATGCAATGGGTAGAAAATTTACTATTATTATATATTTGGAAAAAAAAATTCATAAAATTCAAGTGCCCTTAAGTATTATGAACTTGCAAAACAAATACTCATTATGTGTTTCTTTAGAGTATGTTTGGATGGAGAATTTAAATAAGGTAATCATTTATGATGGGATTATTTTATGATATTTGTTTGAGAGGATATTTTATAAGAGTTATTTTTATCAGATGGGCATAATATAATTTTATTCATGAGTCTTTATTTATAGAGGAAATTTGTTATACAAAATCAAATATTGATATTATCCTATTCTAAAATAAGGAAATAAATCCTAAAATAATCAGAACAGAATAAATCTAAATAGTTAAAATATAAATAAAATATTCTTATAAAAAACTAATTTGATCTCCTAAAGATATTTAGGCATATTCCCAACACTCCTTCTTGACTGAATATTTTTATCACCTAATTTGAGTTTCAAAATTTGTCTTTTCTCTTTTTGATTGGTTTCTTCTTTTTGTGATTTTTGTTGTAATCCTTCTTGAGGGGGACCACTTTAACATTTGTCTCAAACTTCTCTTTTGAAGGTGGTTTTTCATCATCTTCATTCTCCTCTTGATCATCAAACTTCTTTTGAAGACATGCATCTTTGTGTTCTTCACTTGTATCTTCATTTATAAATGGCTCCTCCTTCTCCAAATTTAAAGCAAAACGTTTGCCTTTCATATGAACATTGAACACTTCTTTGTTGTGTATATCTTTAATCACACAATTTTTATCTTCAAATAACACTTTATAGCCTTTTCCTAATAATTGAGAAACACTCAACAAATTTTGGTTAATATCAGGAACGTATAAAACATCAGCTATTAATTTAAAACCTAAATGACTTTTAATAGCAAGTGTTCCTTTGCCTTTTACTGTAAGGTGTGCTCCATTTTCCATTTGAACTTTAGAGATATCAGTTTTGTTTAGTTCTTTGAAGAGTTCTTGATCATAGGTCATATGATTTGTACAACCACTATCAATAATCCAAGCTTTTGAGGGTTTTTTGGTCATAAAGCATGACATTGAAAGTAGTTCTTCTTCTTCCTCTTCTTGTTGATCTTCAACAATGTTAGGTTCTTCTTGTTGCTCATGAGATTTGCATACATGTTTTAGGTGTCCTAATTTTCTGCAATTGTCACATTTTACATCAGGTCTCCACCAACATCTCTGTTGTGGATGATTCACTAGTGAAAAAAAGACTTTTAAAATCTGTTATTTTTAACTTTTAAAATTGTTTCCGTAACCGATTTTAAAAGAGCCGATTTTAAAAGTTAGACTTTTAAAATCGGTTAACTTTTAAGACCGGTTGTCTTATAACCGATCTTAAAAGTCCTGGCCAAGAAAAAAAATTAAACTGGAATGGGCCGTTCCAGATTGTGAAAAAAGGCTATTTGAAGAACGCAATTAGAACGGCCCGTTCTCCTTTCAGTATGGGTCGTTCTGCTTGGAGAACGGGTCGTTCTCCTTGGAGAACGGGTCGTTCTCCTTAAAGAACGGGTCGTTCCAGCTTCGAAATTTAGCCAAAATGAACCTACAACGAACATATAAACAAGAGAAGCGCGTGAGAAAATGAAAAGAGACATAAGAAGAGGAAAACAAAAATAAAAATGACAACAAAATTTACCTCTTTAGAAAATGAGAGCGCGAGAGAGTAAAAAAATGAATGGAGGGAAAGATTAAAGAGAATGAGATTGGAGGGAAATATAAAAGGTTTCTAACGATACTTTTAAAATGGTTATTTAAGAACCGATTTTGTATACTACATACAAAATCGGGTCTGAAATAACCGATTTTAAAAGTGCTACTTTTAAAATCGGTTCTGAAATAACCGATTTTAAAAGTAGTACTTTTAAAATCGATTATAAAATAACCGATCTTAAAAGTTATGACTGATACAACTTTTAAGATCGGTTCTTTTGTAACCGATTTTAAAAGTTGTGTCAGTCATACCTTTTAAGATCGGTCATAAAATAACCGATCTTAAAAGTACTTTTAAGATCGGTTATTTTATGACCGATCTTAAAAGTGTTCATATTATTTACAAAATTTCCACCACGTCACTTTTAAGATCGGTTACCTTATAACCGATCTTAAAACTCTGATTTTAAATCCAATTTTTGCACTAGTGATTAGTCTTTTTGCAATAAGGACATGGTGAAAAAATTTGAGTGTTATTATATTGACTGTTCTCTTGAAACAATTCCTTCTTCTTGTTTTTGCCACTATTTTTGTTCTTCCATTTGGCTAAATATACACCCTCCATAGATCCTTCTTCTCTCATAAGCCTTCTTTGTTCTAATGATTGTAATGCATGTAACACCTCTACCAAAGTGATCTTACTCAGATCCTTTGTTTTCTCCAACGCTGCTATTGAAGCTTCATATATTTCAGGTATAGTTACTAGAATTTTTTCAACAATTCTAGAATCAAGAAATTGCGTTCCTAGTAATCGTACCTTATTAGCAATACCAAGTAATTTGTCTGAGTATTGTTTGATTGTCTTAGTCTCCTTCATTCTTTGTATTTCAAATTCTCTCATTAAATTTAATACTTGCATGCTTCAAATCCTTTCATCTGCAACATATTCTTCCTTTAGATAATTCCAAATTTCTTTTGCCGATTTGAGAGTCATAATCCTGGTGAAAACATTTTGTGAAACATAGGCAAAGAGATAGCTTTTTGCCTTTGCCTTCTTGATTTTCTTTTCTTTGTGAATTTTCATTTGGGCTACGGTAGGATTGTCTGGTAACGCGGAAACATCATAATCTTCTTCTACGGCTTCCTAGAGATCTAAACCTTCTAGGTATGCCTTCATTCTCACCGCCCAAAGATCATAACTTTCTCCATCAAAAATAGGTGGAGAAATTTGTGAAAAGTTTGTTTCTGCTTCCATCTCCAAGATCGTAACCTTAGCTCTAGATACCAATGATGGGATTATTTTATGATATTTGTTTGAGGAGATATTTTATAAGAGTTATTTTTATCAGAGGAGCATAATATAATTTTATTCATGAGTCTCTATTTATAAAGGAAATTTGTTATACAAAACTCGCAACGGTTTCCTGGGTCTTCCCCGAAGCCGAAGTATCGCTAGTCCAATTCTCCAAGACCTCGAAAATGTCTTCTTGAGCAGCTTCGTCATCAAAGAAGCTTATGAGGTCTATGTCATCTGGAGGAATAGAAGCAAGTAGAGTGTCGAAAGGGACAACATCAGTCGAACTCGCAGGTTGACCGGAAAGAGGAGTTTGTTTATCCTCAAAAGTTACCTCTAGACCTGCACGAAAAGGATATTTCAGTGAGACAAAATATTCTGTGTGGGAATACCTTGATGTCCAAGAAGTAGTTACCTACCTTGTCCAGAGGACACCCCTGTGTCGAAATTGAAAGAAGGTGCACCACTTTGCACAAGACCAGAAAAGTGAAAAGCAGTGTAACAATGCACAAGTTTGAGAGCGGCCAGAAAAGTGAAAAATCAAGATTCAACAGAACATACCTCAGGACGTTCATAAGGAGATGCCGATTCACGAATTTCGATAACATTTCGAGAAGATGGAGCAGCAGTAGGAGAAATGGGGGCACTTCGAGGGCTCTCAGAGGAAGACTCGGACGCCTCTGAATCAACCTTTTTCTGGAAAAAGGAGAAATCATTACAGAGGACAAAATCAAATCAAAGAGAAAAGTAAGGAAGGTCCAGAAAATTACCACATTACCTGGACAAGGGATTTCATTGCATCCTTCATAAGCTTCTCAGTGGGAACTTTAGGTCTGGGGATAGACCTAGTCGAAATTGCCTTTTGTTTACCTTTGTCTCGAGAGGATCTTCGAGTAGTGGAAACCTGAAAAATGTTAAAAGAGCGAAGAGATCAGTATGGCATTTGAGTAGCAATTTCGAGTGCGCTCAGAAAGATAACTTACAGATTGCCCACTTTGAGAGTCTAAACGAAGTTTTTTCTTAGGAACTTCAACCTCCTACAAGAACAAAATGCAAAGTCCTGTGGGCAGTTGAGGGGAAGAGGTTTTTTAGAGAGAAGTTCTAGAGAGAAGGGCTCTAGACTGGAAAGCTGACTTTTGAAGGATTGAAGTTCCGGGGGGGATTCCGCTTCTTGGCTATTCTGATCCAATCTTCAGGTAAGGGAAGCTAGTTGAAGTTAAGTTGATAAGTTACTATAGGTGTGGACATGTTTATGTTGTAAAGTGGTTGATTATGCTGATTAATGTTGTTAATGTTGTATGATGAAAAGTCGAGTTGTGAAGTATGTTGATTATGCTGTTAATGATGTAACGTTGAGCCGTACTGTATGATGCTAATGCTGAATTTCGTTGTTGAGCTGATTAATGATGAGTTGTGTTGTGGAATGTTCATGTTGAATCATGATATTTAAGTCGTTTTGTATAATATTGAGCTATTTTGATGAAAATGGGTTTTCGAAGTTTCCAGGGTTTTGATGAAAATCATGAGGTTTTCTTGATGGTGATTGCATGTGTAAAAAGAGGTGGTTTTTGAACTCTTGAATGAAAATGTATTATCTTGGATGGATTGCATGTGGAGTTTCCTGGTTATTTTGCAGGTTTTGATGAGATTTTCGAAAGTATGGGGTTTGCTGCTGAGCTCGCGCTGAGCGCAGTTCTTCGCGCCGGGCGCGTGGCCACGTGAGGGCAGCATTTAGGCAAGCCACCGGGCGCAAAGATGTGTGCGTCGAGCGTAAATCCTACGAAATCCTAAACCAATACACCCCCCTTAATCTCCTAAAGATATTTAGGCATATTCCCAACAATTTATTTGAAGAATTTCAAATTTCTTGAGGTAAAATATACTTTGTTTGGATGGAGAATTTACAAAGAATTTGAAATTCAAATATTTGTGAAATTCCTTAAAATAGTAAAATTTCAAATTCTCCCAAAAAAGTAAGAATTTGAAATTCCTCATATTTATTTTTCATATTTTAATTATATATTTTATTTTATCTCTTATCTCTTCATTCTTTTAATTATTGAATATTTAAAAATATTTTTAAATTATTTAATATTAATTTTTAAAATTATTAACTATTTTAAAATTGGTTACTATTTATTTTTATAAAAATTAATTTAAAAATATCAACATATGAATATATTTTTAAAATTAATTTTACCATGACGGAATCAAATTACCATATCCAAGCTAAAAACTTAAAAATTTAAAAATTTAAAATTGACTTATCCAAACAAAATATTTTTAGAATGATAAAAATTGAAATCAAAGTAATTCAAATACTAATAATTTTAAATTCCTTGAATTTATAAAATTCTCCATCCAAACACATCATTAGTGTTGTTATATAAAAATGCAAAACAAGTACTCTTGAAAACTATGTGCTCTTTATTATGAATTTAGTGAATATGAATATGAGTGATCTCTTTTTAAAATTTTAATTATTCTATTCTCGCTCTTCAATCCAATTTTTCATTTTAATAATAATAATAATATGATAATTTATTTATGACAAATTGATTGAATTTTTTCCTTTTTTTATGTAATATGAATTATGACAATCAGGGCGGATCTAGGGATGGCAATGGGCTTCATAGGAGCGGGTAATAGTAAACTCGCGCCCCGCCTCGCTGGATGAAAATTGGCCTCATACCCACCTTATATTCGCATGGGTATCTGTGAATTTCTTGAATATCCACGAATATCCATGAATATTTTTTAATTTTTTAAGAAATTAAAAAAATTATTACAAATAATTTTAATTTTATATTTAATGTCATTGAAATATTAAAAATAAAAATTCAATGTTAATTTTGAACTTGTATTTAATGTTAATTTTGTTGAAATAATAATAAAAATGCAAGATAATCAATAACTTAAAATATATCAATCTCACAAGTAAGTTAAAGTCTCATCACAACATTGAAGGGAAACGTGATGGAGAGAAGCGACGTGACGCCAGAGTCGCCTGACACTTGGGGTCAACATGTTTCTTTTCGTGATAAACTGATGAATAACAAAGCCCCACTACCACGCATGCCAAAAGCGGATCTCATTGGGCAGAGTCTCTTTCGAATCGAATTTGAAGATGGCAATCGACTTAAACCTCGTTGTTTTTTGGACGAAACGGTGGTGGAACAGTTGAGGGCTCCCTGGCAAGAGGCTATAATCGTGAAGTTGTTTGGGAAGCAGGTTGGCTACCTTACTCTACGGGATCGTCTTAAAGGTGTGTGGAAACTTGTTGGTGGATACGATGTGATGGATGTGGGATGCGGTTTCTTCTTAGTTAAGTTTGACTTAAGTGAGGATCGCGAGAAGGTGATTTCTGGTGGACCATGGATGCTGTTTGACCATTAGCGTCAGCTGTTGGTCGCCCCCTTAAAGTAGATATGATGACGTTGAATGCAACACGCGGACGATTTGCGAGAGTTTGTGTAGAAATTGATCTTGATCAACCAGTTGTGGGTAAGGTGTGGTTTCAGAATAATTGGTTCAAGATACAATATGAAGGACTTCATCTCTTATGTGGGGAATGTGGCTGGTATGGGCATGTGACACGAGCATGTCCTTCTTCCCCAAGCTCTTCCTTCGGTGCCGATAAGCAAGGTCCATCTAGTTCTCCATCGGAAGGTGCCGGAGGGGGTGGCTTGGCGGCGCCAGGTCAAGAGGAATCTAACCCTAGCACTATAACTAATCCCGTGATTTTTGGCAACAAAATGCATGGTGATTGGTTAGTTGTTACTAAACCGCGTAAATCAGAGAGGTTTCAATTTGGCAAGATTTCCAAACGACCATTTAATGACAATAACCACGATAACAAAAATCTCGGGGGTAATAGATTCCAAGCTCTACGTAATATGGCACAAAATATTAATTTGAATATGAAAGAAATGGGCCCGGAGGGTGTTGAGGTGGCAAGCCCACGTGTGGCAACAAATACATATCCTATGGAGCATTCCAAGAAAAGATCACGAGTGGAGTCCAAGAATGGTAAGTCATCCTCGTTGATCTTACATAGACCTACGCATGATGTGAATAAGGGCATGCAACAAGGATCTTTACCGCATAGTATGAATCCGGCTTCGTCTTCAATTTCCACTAAGCATCATCAATGGCAACGCGAACTATCGAAGTGTTTGACTCTCCCTATCATTGAGGAAAGACATGGACGACCCCAATATATGGGTGATCCACCTGACCGGGGTGAACTTGGCAGTAATGACACACATTCTCTCAATATGGATGTTTTAATTAGTGAGGAGGGAGAAACGATGGATATACCTCCGGTACTGACATGATGTGGTCTGGTGGGTGCCAGGTACTTTTTCTCCATCTGTTCAATAATTGATCTCAAAATTCTGGCTTGGAATGTGAGAGGAGCATCCGGAAGGTGCAATCAATTGCATATTCGTGATTGTGTGTTAAGAGGTCAACCTGACCTTGTGTTCTTGTTCGAAGTTCACACATTGTTTAATACCTACCAAGGATTTTGGGACCGTCTTGGCTACCAGGTGGTGGCTATTCCAGAGGCTCGTGGTCACTCTAGGGGTATTTGGGCTCTATGGAAGATAGGGAATACGGTGCAATGTCAATCCTTTGCAATGACTTCGCAGGCAGTTTCTGTTTCCATCAAAACTTCCGGGCAGTCCTGGATTTGTATGGGTGTATATGCTAGTCCATCTTCTCCTGCTCGTCGAGAGATGTGGCATCAACTTAACATGTTACGTGAGACATCTCAGTCGGCGTGGCTTTTGATTGGAGATTTTAATGATATAATGGTGGCATCCGAACAACGAGGAGGCACCTTTGATATAAGTAGGGCTGATATTTTTGCTCAGCAGCTGGAGTCATGTGGATTGTTGGATTTGAACCTGATGGGGGCAAAGTTTACTTGGCATAGAAGGCGTAATGGGCTTTCATTACACAAACGCCTTGATCGGGCTGTGTGTGACATTTTGTGGCGTACCAAGTTCCCGGAAGCTGTGGTGGAGGTCCTCCCTCGTGGTCACTCGGACCATAACCCTTGATGTGGAGGGTTTCCTCAGCCTCGGGGTGATCGTCCTTTTCGATTCGAAGCTGCCTGGTGTACCCATGCAGCCTATTGTAAGGTGGTAAAAGACGCTTGGAATGGCCATTCTGGGAACGTTTTGAATGCGTTAAATCAGGTAAGGATGGCATCTATCACTTTTAACCAGGAGGTGTTTGGTAATATCTTTGTGAGAAAGAGAGAACTCCAAGCACGTATTCGAGGGTTGGAGCGGTACTTGGAACGTATTGACTCGGTGAGATCCTGGGCCTTGTATCATGATCTACAACAACAATATGAGACTTGTCTATTCCAGGAGGAGACTTTGTGGTACCAGAAATCTCGAGAGCAATGGATTAAGCTTGGCAGTCGTAATACTTCTTTCTTCCATGCACAGGCAGTGGTTCATCGAAAATGTAGTAAGGTACATGGACTCTTTCTAGCATCAGGGGAGTGGTGTACTGATGCTTCCCTGTTGCAGCAAGCGGCCTATTCATTCTACCAGTCTCTATTTGGGGAAGCAGAGGAGGTCCAACCGTTAAGGGCTCCGGATCCTTTAATGAGGCTTAACTATGATGACCAAGTTTTGTTAGGTGCACCAGTTTCTAAAGAGGATGTCTTTCAAGCGCTGATGGAGATGAAGTCTTATAAAGCCCCCGGTCCCGATGGCTTTCAACCTATCTTTTACAAGATGTATTGGGATGTAGTGGGGGATGACGTGTGGTCCTTTGTGCGCACTGCTTTTGCTATAGGTTTCTTTGATCCTCAAGCTGCGGAAACATTGATTGTTCTTATTCCGAAGCATGAGTGCCCTCGTCATTTGAAGGACTTTCAACCTATTAGCTTGTGTAATGTCTTACATAAGCTAATATCAAAAGTGCTCGTCAACCGTCTTCGTCCGATTTTGAATCGCATTGTAAGCCCTATACAGAGTAGCTTTCTCTCAGGTAGAAGCACTAATGATAATGCCATATTGCTACAAGAAATCATACATTCCATGTCCAAATCTCAAAGAGTGGAGGGTGATTTAATTCTGAAACTAGATTTGGAGAAAGCAGATGATCGTGTTGACTGGAGCTTCCTGCGGCGTATTCTTATTGATCTTGGGTTTCCTCCACATATTATCTCTCTTATCATGCATGGGGTTTCTTCCGCTTCTCTATGTCTTCTCTGGAATGGCCAAAAAGCAGGAACCATCACTCCTAGGAGAGGGCTTCGACAGGGTGATCCACTCTCGCCATATTTATTTGTGCTCTGTATGGAGAGATTGGGTTTATTGATCACAGAGGCAGTGGAGGAAGGCTCTTGGTCCCCCTATAGGTTACGAGGTGGTCCTGTCGTGTCGCACCTCTTCTTTGCTGATGACGTATTGTTGTTTTCAAAAGCTACAACTTCTTCTATGCGTATTATTATGAAAGTTATTGATTTATTTTGTGACGCTTCAGGGATGCGGGTTAGATACCTCGGGAGGAAATATCTCCCTTATGGGTCCCCAAATTTGGAACCATTGGAGAAACCATTTTGGGAATTTTAATGAGATTCCCCTGCGAAACCAGAAGAACCAGGAATGGGTTTTTGGTTGGAGGTAAAGCATATTGGTCCATGCTAACATGTAATCATAATAGGTATAATGTTGAGGTTGGAATTCTCTGGAAAAGGATTTTCCTTGGTATAAAGGTTGATTCCAATCAGATGGTGTAAGAGTTTTTTGAATTTTGACTTTTGAAAATTGAATAGAGCCTAGCTCATCTTTGGTGTGGGTTAATTCTATTGAGTCTGTATCGACCAAAATAAATTCATAAAATAATCTTTTATGGTAGTAAGGAGGATAATGATGTTGATCAATAAATAGCTTTGTGGCTAAGGTTAATGGGCTCAGATTTTTCCACTCAGGTTCAACTATAATAATATCAAGGTCATATGATCTTTCTTTTGGATTATTCAACACGATGCATTTAACACTCCGATTATTGCAAACCTAATTTTCAGAAGTGTTTTGTTTTTTGTAAGTAGAGGGGAAAAAGAAACAAACTCTTCTAATTGGAATTTAAAATTTGATTTAAAAAATACACAAATTAGGGGTGTGTTTGCGAAAGCCAGATAAATTTACTAAAACTGATTGAGATATTTAATTTTATTTAAATATAACAAAATAAATCAACTTTTATGAAGTGAATTAGCTTGAAAAAAAATTATCATAAGCTTCAAATTTTCATATTCAAGAAAATAACATATTTTAGGAAATTATAAGTTATTTGCAAATTTAAGTTACTATTTTAAACAATCAGTTTATTTTACAAACAATTCTTTTCTACATTAAAACAGATAAAATGACTGAAAATAATATTTCTCAAACACACTATTAAATTATATTAATAGTGTCACATACATAAATTAATTCTTCGTATTCTCATAAATGTGATGAAAAAAATATAATGCAACTTAATTAACTAAATTGTTTCATTTTAAAAAAAGGGTAAATTGCCGGATGTTAAAAGTCTGAAGTAATAAAAGATTTAATTGTTATAAAAAAAATAAAGGATATAATTAAATTAGTAAACTTATAATTACAACTATCCATTAAACCCTAGTTGTTAGTTAATATTATTAACATTTAACAGCTTGTGTGACGTAGCAAGTTGGTGTTTTAGTAGTCGAGAACGAGCCGTTTCCAATCTGGAACAGACCATTCCAAGCTATTAAAATGGACAGTAAATCGTAGCTGAGAACGGGCCGTTCTGTAGGGAGAACGGGTCGTTCTGGTTGGAGAACGGGCTGTTCCGGAGGGAGAACGGGCCGTTTTGGAAGGGAGTACGGGCCGTTCTAGTTGAAGAACGGGTCGTTCTGGGTGAGTTCCAGAACGGGCCGTTCTGATTCTAGAACAGGCCGTTCTGCATGTAATTTTTGTACGTGTTGAGGGGGTGCAGAACGGGACGTTCCGGTTTTGGTACAGGCCGTTCTGACCACTCCAGAATGTCTATAAAGAGGGGCTGTGGGCAGTTGAGGGGAAGAGGTTTTTTAGAGAGAAGTTCTAGAGAGAAGGGCTCTAGACTGGAAAGCTGACTTTTGAAGGATTGAAGTTCCGGGGGGGATTCCGCTTCTTGGCTATTCTGATCCAATCTTCAGGTAAGGGAAGCTAGTTGAAGTTAAGTTGATAAGTTACTATAGGTGTGGACATGTTTATGTTGTAAAGTGGTTGATTATGCTGATTAATGTTGTTAATGTTGTATGATGAAAAGTCGAGTTGTGAAGTATGTTGATTATGCTGTTAATGATGTAACGTTGAGCCGTACTGTATGATGCTAATGCTGAATTTCGTTGTTGAGCTGATTAATGATGAGTTGTGTTGTGGAATGTTCATGTTGAATCATGATATTTAAGTCGTTTTGTATAATATTGAGCTATTTTGATGAAAATGGGTTTTCGAAGTTTCCAGGGTTTTGATGAAAATCATGAGGTTTTCTTGATGGTGATTGCATGTGTAAAAAGAGGTGGTTTTTGAACTCTTGAATGAAAATGTATTATCTTGGATGGATTGCATGTGGAGTTTCCTGGTTATTTTGCAGGTTTTGATGAGATTTTCGAAAGTATGGGGTTTGCTGCTGAGCTCGCGCTGAGCGCAGTTCTTCGCGCCGGGCGCGTGGCCACGTGAGGGCAGCATTTAGGCAAGCCACCGGGCGCAAAGATGTGTGCGTCGAGCGTGCTTGAGGATGTTAGCCTCTGGATGGCCCACGCCAAGCGGGACTTGAACCGCGCCAGGCGCGATATTAGTTGTGGCTTGTTTTTGGGCTTCTGGCATGGCGCTGAGCGCGAACTTGGTCGCGCTGGGCGCGGGGACTCCTTGGAGTCTCTGCCATGGGGGCACCGGGCGCAATTCGAATTGCGCTGGGCGCAAGACCAAGGGAGGTCTCTGCCTTCCCCACATTGGGCGTGGGTTTGGGCACGCTAGGCGTGGGAGACTCCATGAAGTCTCTTCCGACCTACCAGGCTTCAAAATGTGGCACTTATTGGTAAATAAGTTTGGGACCTCATGTACAAGCCTGAGAAGCTTTGGGTAGTGGAAATACCCTGGTGCCAATATAACTGCCATGCTGCAACATTTTGGGTCGTTTTTCCTTTCATCGTTACGGAAAACATATGAAGCGCTCGAAGAGGGATTTCATCTTAGGCTGGGGCAAGGTGAGTGTAGTTTTTGGTTTAATCCTTGGATTGATGGATCACCTCTTGCCTCTCGCATGACATACATCGACCTCAACGATGTGGACTTGGAGGTGCGCCATGTGGTGCGCTCGGATGGGTGTTGTGATCTAGCACGTATCGCGTCACCCTTAACTGATGATCTTCGTGAATTACTCTCCCACTTGCGGCTCTACTTACACCATGATATCCCTGACGTGCTTGCATGGCAGGGGGATGAATCGGGAGTTTATTCAGTTCGTACAGGATATGCGTGGTTATTGACAAGACCTACCCTGAGGAGAGATGGTAGTTGGGGATGGTTGTGGAAGCTCAAGCTCCCCGCGCAGCTAGTGTTTTTTTTATGTCAATTGTGTCATGATGCTTTGCTTATGCGTTGTTTTCTACATTATCGACATATGATTGAAGTTACCACTTGTCCTTGTGCCATCAGTACCCAGAGGATGTCCATCATATTTTCTAATTTTCTGGGAATGTGATGTGATTTCTAGAGTTTGGCTTTTGACTAGTTTGGCGATTACTGGCCCTTCAAGGGACCCACACACTCGACTATCATGGCTGCATGCTGCCCTCTCCCAAGAGGGTTTGATAGTGCCTATTCTCTTGTGGGAGATGTGGAAAGCGAGGAACAACATTCTTTTTCACCGACAAGTTTTATACCCTCAAACAATTGTAGCTAAAGCCCAAGCACTCTTGACTACTTCAACTAGTGCGTTTGGTGGGAGTGACGACGTTGCACCTCGACTAGAACGTTGGGTTACTTGTATCCTAGCAACAGGGGATCAGATTTCTTTGCATACAGAT